CTCAGAGAGAACTAATGCATATGGAAACACTTCTTCTGAATTCGTTTGATATCCTGCCACTTTCTAGCTGTAAAATATTAGATGTGATAAAGTCTGCATCAATATAAATGTGAAGTTTTCATGAACATAACAAAACCTATTGAAATTATTTTGATAATAATTAATATAGAATTATTGATTATGTCTGAAAAGAAAAGAAAAAAAAAACTGTAAAAATACAATATATTATGATAATATGTGTACATGTTTAATATAGTTCCATGAGACCAGAACCCATAACAGAGACATGCCAAGTATTTGTGTCTCTTTGTTTGTATAAAGGGAGTTTCCATGCATGGAATGAGGAGTGGAAATAATTTCAGGAGAGCAGGGAGTGTATGTATCTGTTATTTTGGTCACTTGCAGTTCATCATTTTATACATAATACATTCATGTTTGCCATTTCCAATCAACTTTTTGTTCCAACCCAAAGGAGTTTCACACAAAAAAATTTTTAATTGTAATAATAGCTCCTTTAGTGCACTACAGAAGTTAATCTATTATATAATGTAATTTTTTAAGCATACCTTTAGGTACTTTAATTTCTTAGGAGGCAGATTCAAATCAGTTTCAGATGTGCTGGGCTGATTGGATATTGTTCATATAATTTAGCAAGCTGTACAGAGGCATGTTGTTGTTAAATTGTCTAATGATTGTATGTAACCTTTGTCTGGCCTGTTGATAATATAAGTGAAACAGTATTTCCAGAAAAGGCTTTCAATGTTCTTTCGTTCTTAGAATTTTGTGTGCGGATAGTAAAGTTACCCTTTAGATGCTTTATTGCTGCATGGTTTTATTAGCATTATTGTATGTAAATCATATACAAATGCATAATCCACAATCAATGCTTTTTTTAAGACTTCCATGAAAACAAGTTCTTTGCTTAATTGCAGTCGATTGGGTTACATCAAATTACTCCTTTTTATGGGAAGTCAGTCCACTTGATCTCCATCTTGGTAACTAGTAACAATACATTTTCATGTTTGCATCACATAACCAGCTCCAAATGTTTTTGAGCAAACTCAGTAGCTCACCTAAAAACCTTTTTTAGCGCCACTTATTGGACATTTCATTTCCGAACTGCCATGATACTTACAACAACCAGCGTAATATAATGTTGCCAGATAAACAGTAATCTATTTTGAATAACACTTTTAGTGCCACTTACTGGACATTTCACGTTGAATATGTTGCAAAAAGTGCAAGAAGCAATGTACTGTAATGTAAACAAGTAGGCGATGACTTCATGACAAATATGTTTTCAGCTGCTGTATTAAGCGTTTCTTATAATCTCTCCACAGGATATTTATGCATGGCCCATATAAAAACAAAATTATTGATCAAATAATTTATAAAATAAGATAATTCCCAACAGAAATTAAAGCAGTATTTAATTTTTTTGTCACATTGTTTCTCAAATTCACATGAAAAATGCACGGGCCATATGGAACATTGTCAGAGAAGTTGCTTGTACTGTGAAGATGGTTTTCCCCTCCCCAGCAAGTCACTGTAATGCATGTTTTGCATCTACTAATGGATGCTAACATGTCACAGTGTTTCTGCATCTAATCTATTTATGTAAAAGCATGTTTTTTTTTGGATCATATTAAAGGGATAGTTCACCCAAAAATTATGTCCTAAGACACGAAACGATCGGTTTGTAGAACTAATCGTTGCCTGGGTTGCGTACGTATATGTGGGGCGGAGCTATCAAAATACAGGCAAGACCCTTTTGGGGTAGGGGCGTGTTTGTTTTGGTGATTTCAAATATCAACATTGGCTACCAGAAATCACTTACTCTGCCTTTAAGTTATCAAGCTGTATTTTGAAGCTTTTGTGTCCTATCAGGCTTGAACCCACAGTGGTTGAACAACTTGAGTGAATTGCAACCTGATGTTTCTTCAGTGGGGCCCTCAAAAGACACATCTGGTTTGCAAGGAACTTTTCCGTGGTCATCGTCAATGATTTCACAATTGAGAGCGAAATGCCGCCGCATTTGGCCCGCGGGCCGTAGTTTGGACACCCCTGCTATAGAGCGACAGCAATCTTTATATTTATATTTAGTCTATTTATGCAGTTCCACCCTTCAGGTTGGTACACCCACATGAATTTTCGTACCTGACTCATATCCTGTTGTGTTGAAAGAACAAACTGTAAAACATCTTGCATCATCAAACTCCTAAATGTGTCCTTTATAATATTTATACTTTAATACGAATATTCTTAATATTATAATCAATAATTTAGTAATTTTGCTATGTGCTTTTGTCATTTTATAGTTTGTTTTAAATATTACTGTACGATAGGTTTAATTAGTTTTTATTTCAGTTTTGTTTTATTTATTTATTTCATCTAATATTTATTATATTTTAATTCAACTTCAATTTCTAATAGGTTTAGTTTTAGTTAGTGATAATGACCCTGCTTAATAGGCCTACACAGTTGGATTCTGACAAGCCAGTATTAACTATTCATCTTGATTCTCTCAGTTGTCTAAACCAGTGTTTCCCAACCTTTCTTTAGTCGCGGCACCTTTTGGAAATTTTAACAAATTTGTGGCACCCTACAAAATTAATTTTGTCACAATATTGGAATTTCTAACTTCGATATGATACTTTGAAAAGTATAGATATTCGGTACAGCAGGGAAGAACTGCAGAATATACTGTCATACAGATATTTTTAATATTATAAAAAAAAAATTGTCCATCAATGGTGGCAATCAGTAGGCTAATTTCTAATGAAGAGACCAATTTATATGACAGATTTTAATGTAGGCTTTTATTCATATGTAAACATTGTGAGATAGCTAGTTATAATGGTAATTAAACAGTTTTGCTCACTCGGTGTATTTTTGATTTTACAGTTGGGTAATTTTGTTGCAGTAGCACGAGATAGCTTGATTTAAAACTTTGAATTGAATAAAAAAATGACAAGGAGGCTAAGCAGTTAATAATAATCGTCAATGATTTCACAATTGAGAGCGAAATGCCAGGAAACCCACACATCTCAGAGGTAACATCAGCAGCCCAACAAGCACAAAACTAAATGAATATGCTCTAACTTGGTCCTGTCATAATTGGATATTAGATAAAAAGCGTGATCTCTGATGCTCATAACATCCAGTTTGCTGTAAAGACATAATTTGTGCAGTGTGAGCGCAGCCTCTTTTAGTTTAGCAGACCTACTGCAGCATCATATTGGATTATTAAAATGAAATTTAGTTTCACCACTATTGCTCCATTCACAATAGTGCTGAAATATTGACCTCATGGGAAACATAAAAGTCAAATACCGTTTAAGACCAATGCGAAGCATTGATTTCCTCTTTGGATTCTGGATTCCGAGAGTTGCTCTGCTCAATGTGAATACAGTCTGTCTTTTTTTATGTAATACCTATATATATATATATATATATATATAATGGTCAAACAGTGTGCATGTTTATTTTTCTTTTCACTTAATTAAAAGAATTCCACTCAATTTTACTTTTTTATCCATATAAAGATCAGAAATGGATATTATATAATAGCTGCTTTTTTGAACATTTTAGCAATTTAAAAATATTAAAAAGGATTTTTTACACGGCACCCCTGCTCTCGACAGACGCGGCACCCCGGTTGGGAAACACTGGTCTAAACAACACACCCATGCATGCTAAACCATCAGAAAAGTTAGAGAAAGCAGCTCTTCATGACTTAACAGCTGCTGTAACATGTTTGCTATGGTAACCAAACACAGCAGTGTGCCATCAGGCCCGTGTGAAGCAGCTCTCAGTGTGAGTGTGGCGAGCGTCGGCCTCTACACTATAACTGCACCTAGCATGAGTCAGAATTTCACACTCTTCTTCTTCCTCAAAACTCTGACCAGAACATTGTGTTAGTACTCTAACCACAGACGCCATTCTGCTGTTCAAAGTCATGAAACTAGAAGTTGTTCAGCAGATGGATCTCAAAGAGACAAATAACATTCATTCAAAAATCAATTTGTGAGGCATATCTGCTGCAGTAATATAATATGAAATGATCACACTTGCCAGCGATTCATCAGAAACAAAAAGCTAGTCCGTAAAAACTTCAGCTGTTGAGTTAAGTAAGCAAGCTGTTAAGCATGTTATGTCAGCTTGCAATGAAATAGTCCTAGGTCTGTCTTTATGACAAGTCTTTAAATTCTGTCAGATAATAAACTCATATACTGTATGTTATGAGATTTTGTACTGTATCACCTATATGGTTCCACTGAGCACATACAAAAAAAATGTCCTTGTTTATTTGTTATTTCGTACCAGTAGGCTATTGTGTTATTGTTTTTTTTTCTGTGCAGCACCAAACATTGTGTAAATAAAAACCATTCCTTTAAGAAAACAAGTATCTAATGTAGGACCAATGTTTATTTATTTATATACAAGTGTACACTACCAGTCAAAAGTTTGGAATGATAATAAGATTTTTTTTAATTCTCCACAAAAATATTATGTAGCAAAAAAAATTCTTCATTGATAATAAGAAGAAATGTTTCTTGAGCACCAAATTAGATATTAATTTTGAAGGATTATGTGAAGATCACTGAACATTCGAGTAATGGCTGCTGAAAATTCAGCTTTGCCTTCATAAGAATAGATTAGGCTACATTTGAAAATATATTTCAAAACAGTTATTTTAAACTGTAATAATATGTCACTATAGGCTATTTTTTTTTTTTTTACTGTAGTCTATTTTGATCAAATATACGCAGACTAAGAGCAAGTTATTTATTTTACAAATATTAAATAATCTTTATTATTCCAAACGTTTGAAGGTCGCACAATTTATGATGTAGCCTATTTACGCATTAACACATTACAAAAATCGCTAGTAGGCCTACGTGTTTTGTTTCAAACGAAAATGAGTGCTATGGGCGTCAAAAGCCGGTGTTGTGTTGCGTGAAACGAACCGAATACACCCAAAAAACTACTGACAGAAATTATTTAAAACATGCAATTTACCTGCCATTCATGTGCTTGTATTATGCATACAGTAGTGAGTAAAGCGTTCAGCTTATGATGCCTGCTGCACAGCGCCTCTACCGAGGTACGTGTCGTATACTGTACGCTCACATATATCAGTCATAATGACCGAGGCGGAGAATCAAGCCTGCGGACCAGAGCGATGGTGACGGAGTACGAGCAAACACTAAAACGACGTGAGCTCGGGCAGTCTCAGAGGGAAAGAAAGATGTTTGGAGTAAAACCCAGCGACGTTTTATTCTCCGTTTCCGCGATAGAGTGCACAGGAGTAGAGTTTAGTTCGGCTTCATTCATTGGCGGAGTTTCAATGAAAAGTCTACAACCTGTCACACGGCACAGAGTCTGACTGTAAACAACAGTCAGTGCTACAGATAAATAAAGACACGCTTGATTTAGCGTTTATTCTCCGTTTACAGTAGTTTCTCGCTGCGTTTCTAGGCTGTTGGATTGCTCAGGATGCAGGTGAAAAAGCAGAGGAGCTCCGAGGACCCTCAGAGGGATGATATGAAGAAAAAGCCCTCATGTTTCTCAAATATTAAGATATTTTTAGTGGCGGAATGTGCGCTAGTGTTGGCACAGGGCACAGTGGGCGCATACTTGGTAAGTAAAGCGATGCTTTCCTTTTGTTTTGGATTAGTTTTACACTTCAGGCTTTGGTAATGACTGTCTGTTCTTATTGAACTTGCTGAACTTATTTGGCTCATTTTGGTTTACGCTAATCCGTTTCTTTCATTTTAACCTTCCTGTACTGGAGTGCAACGTAGTGCATGACAAGAAACACGGATGTGACATAGTCTAATAATGATCTTCAATCATTCATTCTATAACATGCCATGCCCTAAGTTCAAAGAAAAAGAAAATAGGCGAAAAGAAGGGAACATCACTGAGTGTTCATGCAATAAAGCAGCTGCCTCAGCAGACATAAGCAGAGTTTATAGTCAGGCTCTGAGAAATAAGTTGCATGGTAAACTGTGAGCCAGTACATGTCCATTACAGATAACCTTACGTGAGTCATTTTAAATCCACATCAATAAAAACACCATTAAGCAACATCACACGAGCAGAAGTAGCCTACTGTTGGAAGTGGATTTTATATCAGCACTGCTGTAATTCTGCAGCGGGCGATTACAAATCTGCTGATATTCAGATTGTGGGTGTGATATTGCTTTTATTCAACAGCTCTATGAAAAGTAGGCTAATTAATGTAGAAAACTTAAATTTCAGACAACTGTTAGTTTGGATATTTCTTCAACACCAACGAAAAGAGTGCAAAAAGAAGCAACAGCATCGAGCTTTGTGACCAAGCAATGCACTTTACGGAGGTAAACCGGTTGGAAAAGTGTTTGAGTGGAACGGAGCGACAGAGATTTCCTCTGCAATCGGTCCGCTCGAAGTCCACTCCTGGTTTTACATTTCTCGCACTAGTTCACTAATAAGAGAGACCCGCTTCAGCGATAGATTAAAAATAAGGATGCAGAATCAAGGACAAGAGCAATATATTTTAGATATCTGAGAGATATTTTTTAAAATATCTCTTTAACATTCAAAGTCTTTATTGTCAAAAAACGCTCCTCATGATGTATATAATTCACAGTACAGTACAGCAGATTATTGCTTTAATATATATATATATATATATATATATATATATAAAGATTAGCCTACATCATGAAAAAATAGGGAATAAGGAAACGTATTTAGAAAAAAATATTAAATAACAGCATTAAAAGATATATTTAAAACAAGTGTTGCTAAATAATGATGGTTGCTGCTAACAGAACCCAGGACGGGAATAACATATTTAGATATTTTTATGATAACCTCTTTTTTTACAGAAAGAGAGCATGTTAAGTCTTTATCTTGTCCTTATTTTGGCAAACATGCAAGACTGTCCAAAAACATTCCTCTTATTTTGAATGTAGACTGTTCACAATACAGCACAGCAGATTATTGGCGTTTTAAAAATCTTACATAAAAAATAATGGTTTTATTAAAAAGCAGTTTTATTAAATAGCATACTTTAGTCCCTGACAAAACAAGTGGTGCTATTCCGCAAAAATAATTATGGATGCAGGGCAAGTTATTTATTTTTCATTGGCTCAAGTTAAAAAATATAGATGTGAATCATTACCCTAAATTTTTTTAATTGGATGAATGAAACATTTTTTTCCAGTGAAGTGTCCAATATCTAAAAGAAAATTCTCACATTGCTTGCTGTCAGTGAGTTGGAAACCGCTCTATAGCATCTTTGATAAGGAAGAGATTTGTCCAGCCATGTCCTCCATACCCTTGGGATGTCTCTGATGTCTGTACACGCTCAGACCATATTTGGAAAGGAAACAATCATTTGCTCTGTGCCAGAAAGCCTCAATACATCATGGGAACAGTCTCAAAGGGGTACACTTTTTGTGGACTGGATTTGTTCCCAGCTTATGGAAATTCTGATGTTTGGAAACCAAATCAACACAACTTTGCCATTAAAAAAAAGTTTGTGGGACTGGAAGATTCAGAGATTGCCCAGATTTATTTTGACAGATAGTTACAGCGTTAAACTAAACTTATCCTCCCTGGGGTTTTTCCATAGACAAACCAGCCATCAAATTGCTTCAAAATATTTCCAAATATGTCTTATTGAAGCAAACATTTGTGTGAAACGGTAGAAGTTTGTATACTCAGAGTGCTTGTTTAACGTCTGGTCATTGACTCATTGGGTTATTTATACACATAGAACATAATATCAATATTCTCACATGATAATGTTTTGATCAATGCCACGTTTATTTGTTTAAGGAAGAGTTTATCAGCACGCAGGTCATGTAGTAACATTTAAGTTAATTTTCCATGTAATTTCCGAATGATTCAATTAGATTATCTCAGAAGCAACTGTAATTGTGTCAACTGTAAAAGAGTCTCCACCTTCAAAGACTGACTCAGTGCCTCGTTTCAGACATCATACTCATTCCTGGGCATTGTGTCAGTTTCCTATGTTTAGCCTCAGCCCTGAGCTTGACTCTGGGCAGTCTGGACTTCCCCCATGTGCTAAGAGAGCCAGTGTCTTTTTTTATTCTCCTTAAAAGCACTCACAACGTATGCACATCTTTGTATAGCTTTCAGTATGCATATATTTAAGTACTCTGACTGTGATGCAAAAACGCTGGGGCAGTGTTTGCAAATGTCCTTTGGCAGATGTGTCACGTGACATATCCAAACAAATATATATGGTTCATCTAACCTCAACTCATTACTTTGTGCCTACTCGGTTTGCTTGTACTTAATGCAGTAGGCAGAAACATGTAGATGGCTGTATACTGTGTATTTATGACCACCATATTGCTCCTGGGAGATTATCTGTTTCAATAAGATAAAAGCCAATAAGTGATATTAAGCAGAGCTTCAGATGCAGCAGTCTCAAAAGGTCAGTTTAAGTGTGATGTCAAATGATGCACTGTAGTCTTTCCATAGTTGATATTCTTCTGTTAGGAACAAAAAAACATTTAAAGGCATGAAATGAAAATTCACCCTTTCCATTTTCTGAATTGCAGTGGATGATTCATCCATGCATGCATTTCATTTTTACTTTTACCAGACCTTACAGTGACAGATTTCTTGCTAGTGACAAGGTGCTGTAGGCAAACCCCCCCGCTTTTCAGACCGATGAGCTTTGTAAAAATCGATGCGTTTCAAAAAGGCGGGGCATAGAGGAGAAACAATAATGTACAGTATGTGGAAAATGTGTTTTTTTTACCTTTAAACCGCATAAACACATTTCATTACACCAAATACACAAAATAATGTTCTTTTTATCAGCATCATGACCCCTTTAACATCGCTCTGGTTCCCTCGACAAAAAAAGAAAAAGAAAAAGGATTTTTCCACTGGCTTTTGGACTATTGCAGAACATAAGCTCTGTGATCAACAAAAGTTTATGATTCTTGCACATTTTGTTCATCATGATAATCTTTACAAATAAACACAATTTCTATGAATCTTGAAGCCTAAATACAATTGGCAGAAGTAAAAAGCTAAACGTAGGCTATAAACGAACTACACCACAGTCGCGTGACTTCAATGTCAATGTTTCATACTATATTTAAAAAATATTTTCCCTAAAATTTTGAATTCAAATAATTTGCAAGAGCATGATAATAAACACAACGAGGCTGTAAAAAGTGAACTATAGGGCGTACATGAGATTACCTGTTTGGTGTGATATTTAATGTTCCTATTTATAAAACGGTTAGTTCCAGTCCTAGATTCTTGGTCAACAGCTACAGTATATTTATGATAAAGCACGGCTATTACCGCTTCACCTAACGGTTCTGTGTATCACTGTGCAACTCCCATAGCAATGTATTACGTATTTCAGCAAAATTAACTTTATTATTTATGTAATGAATTATGAGGGACCCCTACTGGCGACATGTTGTCCTTCACCTTTAATTTTGAGGCCATGCCCTTCCCCCCTCAAAGAAACTCTTCTAGTGTGAGAGATATGTTAATGTGCGCACATGTTTGTGTGTAAAAATATCACAAGGCAGTATTACTGATGCAATATATGTCGTAGAATAAAACATGAAAATATACTGAGCATGTGTTAACCACAGACCTTATTTCACAGACTGAATCAGTGGCTTGTTTGACACATCATACTTATTTCTTTGCATTGTGTCAGTTCCTATGTTTAGCCCCAGCCCTGAGCTTTTTAAGTTGTGGACATGCCCTTCCCCCCTCAAAGAAACTCTTCTAGTGTGAGAGATGTGTTAATGTGTGCACATGTTTGTGTGTAAAAATATCATAAGGCAGTATTACTGATGCAATATATGTCGTAGAATAAAACATGAAAATATACTGAGCATGTGTTAACCACAGACCGTATTTCACAGACTGATTCAGTGGCTTGTTTGACACATCATACTTATTTCTTTGCATTGTGTCAGTTCCTATGTTTAGCTCCAGCCCTGAGCTTTTTAAGTTGTGGAATAAAACATAAATATATCTTTAGCTTCTGTCAACCACTGACCTCATTTCAAGCATTTAACCAAAAACACATTCAAAAAACCTATTGACTTCAGGACGATAGAACTCAAAGTGCTATAATGAAATGCTAGTTTGTTTCCAGGTGTTGGCCTATAAAAATAATTCATCCCTGCAGCTCTCTATTCATCTGTATCCACTTTTGAGTGCAACGGCCACATCTCAAAATCCATCAATAACTGATGCATAGATCCAAGTCCCCATTCTACATTTTTCTTTTTAGATAATCTGTTACACTCAGATATACATCACAATACAGAAGAAAAAAATCTGTTGCTACTGTTGTTTCATTGCGACTTTAAATATGCACTTTTTTATGCTTCCGAAAATGAGTGGATATGATTTTAAAGATATTTTTCAAAAGTGCAAGTAATTACTTTAGGGGTGTTTTTGTGGTTGGTGCAGGATTCAAAATCGTTCTCTGCCTGTCAGCAAACAATGGGCTGATACCGTAAATGAGAGCTTTCATTTATCTTCCCGTCACATTGTCTTTTGAAATGTTATGATGGATGCTGTTAGCAGTTGGAACAGCCAGATATTTCACTGTAATTTATTTATTTTATCCT